TATGAAAGCTGGCAGCAATTAACATCTTTGTGTTAATCCCAGATGGTCTGTGAGGAAAAAGCGCCATGCAGGGGTGTCTCTTGTGTCGTTCCACCTCATCTGAGGGTCTGTTTGGCTGCATGAAGCCACAAGCACTAAACATAAGTGGGATTTGAAGAACAAAGGCGGCCTTCAGGCTGCCCGTATTGGATGTGCTCACTGCTCATCCCAGCTCCATCCTCATATGCACCAACTAACTTGTGTCCTTAGCCCAGCTCAGGCGTTTTCTAGCTAGAAACTGCTGGAGAGGACTTGCCTTGTGCCTAGATGTACACTGGGGACTCGCATGACAGTGACAGAGGAGTGTGTAGGGGTGGGTGCTGTTGGTGTCGCCCTTTGGGACACAAACTGGAGGAGCAGGTTTGGGCTGGCAGAGGAGCATCCATGATCCTGGAGGAGCAGCCTCTGGTCTCGCACACGGGAGCGTTTCCTTGGCTCGCTGGGATGCCCTGCAACCCCGGCCCATTGCAGACTGCAAAATGAAGGGTTTGCTCAGCTGTGCTTCCCGCCCTTGAAATGGAGTTTTGCAATAAAAGTCTGGCATTCGTGCAGCAACAAGTGACACAAGAAGGAAAGAAAAAAGAAAAAAAAAGAGCTGAAATCTGAAATAAGTGGCAAACTGTTCATTAAAAAGATCTTCTAGTTCATAAAAATGAGAGGCAAAAGGAAGTTTCAGCAGCAAGCCGAAAGAAGAATCAGAGAGAGCTGCCTAGGGCCAGCCTGGCTCAGGCTGTGCAATAGAGAGTCAAAGCAAATGGTACCTGCTCGCAGGGACGGGCTGCTGTCGCAGCTGCGTGGATGAAAACCCAGCAGTTACTGAGCGAATTGCAGGAGCCGGGGCTGGCCAGGCTCAAACACCGTGTGGTTCCTTCCAGGCATAGGAGAGCACTACCACTGGGAAACATTGTCCCTCCGTAACTACACCAATTTAAATGGGGGAAATGGAAAACCTGGTGTCTCCCAGGATCTGTTTGTATCACCAGAAACAGAATGGAAAATACACCCGGTTTCTTGAAAACAGCACCTTACAGATTGTTGTGCCTCCGAGGGCTCTTTCTACCCACCCTTGCACCCTGGGCTGATGCTCCATCTGGGATTATCGTGGCAGTGATGAGGCAGCTGCCCGTGCTGGACACGGTGGCACCCATGGGGACCAAGGCCGCTGCTGCACATGGGGACGGAGCCGGGGATGCCGCCGATGGGCAGCGCTGCTCCGTGTCCCGCCGGCCCTGCATACAGGGTGTTTATTGCCAAGGGTTCCCTGAGCTACAACCAAAGCAGTGATGTTTTCTAATGTTAATAAAATGTTATAATAAATAATAATAATTAATAATAGACCAGGTTATTCCCAAGGCTTCTGAGCGCCATTGCAAGCCACTGCTTGTGGCGTCTCTGAAGCACGAGGCCATTTCCCTCTCTGATACCATGGAGTGGGTGATGAGAGACACACTGCACATGGAAAAGGCTCCGTGTGTGCTGGCCTCGCTCCCGCTTTCCCTCAGCTTCCACACCAGCCACGAGTCCCAGGTGTTCAGCCCTTCGTCTGCCTCTGACCTTCACAGCCTGTTCATCGGGTTTATTACACTCCTTGTCAAGCTAAATAAACACCAGATTAGCCTCACCTCAGCAGACCCCAAATGAGGGCAGAGCTGATGTTTGTGGCTCTGAGCAAAATCCAGCAACGAGCTGCTCATTCCCCTTCCTGGCCGGATAGGCAGCACCACATCCCTACCGGCCTCGGCACCAAATTCCTCTCCCAAAGACAAGTGAGAGGATCACTGCAATATTTTGCTGCCCGATCAGCACTGCCTGCCGGCTTTCAAGGCATCTGTAATTAAAAATGACTGAGGCTTATTGCAGATAGCAGGAACACGGAGCTGAATTAAGTGCACCCAACTCTGCCAACCCAAAGCCTGGAAGTAATTGCAGCCCATCTAGTCCAGCCTTGCGTAAAAGCTGGGCTGGATTGCTGCTGCAACGCAATCCCCGGGGTCAGGGCTGTCAAGCTGTTCCAATTTACTTATTTTTAAGTCTCTTGCAGTAGTTTTTCTGCTGCTCCTCACATTTCAGGGAAGCACCTGGAGAAGGTAGTAATCAGTTTGTAGCAATTATGCTCCAACCGTGTGATTGCTTCTAGGAAAATAGAGTACTCCCACTGCTAAGGAAATAACCAGCAATTTTTACTAGGCTTGAATTGCCTCTATCCTGGCTCATCTAAGTCTACTGAACTTCAACAGATCATGAGAAAACCATGGGAAAAAAGCACTGGATGGAAGTTTATCAACTCTCAAACTCTTCTTCGCACCAGCTGCTTCCTCAGGTTTAGAGGACTGACTAGATGGGATTGTGAATGGGATGTGAATCCCACCTTTTTACTGAATAGCTCTATTGCCACGAAAACTTCAGCATCACCTTTTTAAACAAATGCATTATCAGTACTGCAAAATCTACCTGAATTAATATGCAATATCAGTAAGTAGGACACTCGAGCAGTATTTTAGGCACAGAATAAATATTTAATGCTTCCTGTTCCAAATTTAGTGTGAAAGTGATTTAAATGCACGGCGTGCTCCCCTCTCACACATCGACAAATCAACACGAACCCCAGGCTGCTGCCGGGCGCTTCCCGGAGCCACGGCGCTGGTGCTGGGGAGGATGCTTCTTGGGGACACACCGGGAGCTCGCAGCCTTTGGAAGTTTCTCTGCTTGTAATTCAGCAAAAGACTTGCCCTACCGTGGTGAAGAGCCCGGACTCACCTTGCAAGGACCTCGCTCTTGCCCTCGGGCAGGACTCAAGTAAGATCCAGCTCGTTGCATGCGCCATCGAGGAGCCTGTGCATCTGCAAGAGCAAAGGGGTCTGCAGAGGTGAGGGACGGCGGATTTGCTCCTCCTAAAGGCTCGTGCACCTGGCCAGGGATTGTTTCTCCTACGGATATTTTGGAAATGCTGAAGAATACCTTGATAACCCAAGGCTCTTTTGGAAGACAGTATTTTGCTCCCCTCTGGAGCGGTTTGGGAATTGCCCGATGGAGTAACTGAGGATTTGACTGAGTTTTCTTGAAGATGCTCCTCTCTGGCAGCTCCAGAGGATCGGTTTTTTTGGTTATTACCACATGAACATGGGAGGGGAAGCAAAGTGCCTGCCTCACTTCTCTATTTAAATGCTTCTTTTCAAGACAGGATTTGCCTGAAATGAGAACGGGTCCCCTGAGCATTATCCTTGTCACTGAGACCACGGTAGTGCAGCCTGGGGCTGCTGGTTGCTCCTGTAATGCCCATCTATGGGTCTGCAAACGCCTGGGGAATCTTTCTGGAAACATCCCCCTCCAAATGGTTAGCCCCCCCCAGATTCAGAGAGGTGGAAAGCTGCTTTTCACAAACCCTCTTTCCATTCTGCCAAAAAGGGAGGCTCCAGGATGACAAAAACATGATTCCGCTCCCTGCCATTCACTGTGAACTACATTTCAGCAGCGCTTGTGCGGCACCTGCCTGGATGCATTGGGGGAACCAGCTCGTCCCTGCAAGCACAACCCTTCAGTCGGACTTTTCCTACATCCTGATTCTTTTCTGGGATTTCACCCCTCCTTGTGCAGCCGTCGGCTCAGCAGGAGCTGTGAGGAAGCTCGGGGTTATCAAACACCCCTGGGCAGCCCCCCGTGCCAAGCGAGGGATGTGCCGGGAGCAGATGCACGGAGGAAACCTCACGCGTGCAGCACACAGCCCCTGTAAAACCAGGTGCTCCTAAAGCTGCTGATGTTTGCACAGAAAAAGGGATTTTGCCGTGCAGAGAGAAGCATGGGGCTCTGTTTCATACGCACTCACTGTGCTCGCTCTGCATGTTTTATGAGCTGGTAAAGATGAGGGAATCTGTCCCTGTAAAGCACATTAATGCAAGAAAATACTCATCTTTCCTCTACCCCCTGGAAACATCCTTTAACAGTTTGATTCAACTTTGATTCTCTAATTTACTGGCAGGAAAGGTGCTGAGCTGCACAGATTTCAGCCTTCTAAATAATTTGACATCTCTGCACACAGTATCACCAAGCAGCAGCAACAGAATTGGGAGTTTTGATGCAGTTTTTAAAAGCATTGGTTTGGAGCAATTCCAAGCCTTTGTGCAGTGTTAGCGCTTCCCAAATATTTTTGTTGCAAGCAGTTTCTTTCAGGTTAGATGCAACATTTTCTCCTCCAGTAAAACCCTCAATGCAGTGCTACCAAGCACTGTAATTGTCTAACACTGGAACTCCTAAATTTTGCATCAATAAGAACTATATGTGTACATTATTTACCTACACATGAATGAACATTTCCACACGTAATTAGTTGTGAAGAGGATAATAATAGCAATAAAATTGCAAGGGAATTATCTCAACCTGTTACTTAAAAAGCTAATGTTCTTTGCAACAATCCCAGGACACTGAGAGTTTTAAATAACTTGCATTCTGCTTTTAAATAATTGCAGTGTTCAGATGGCTTGACGAGAGCCACTCTCCCACAGGCTAGTGCCTGTGCTTTGCCCCAGCACCTCCTTGCCTCGGTCCTGGGAGTGCTCTGCATCAAACATAGCTTGCAAATATAGGATCAAAAATATTAAACTAGAGGTTTTCTGCTGCAGTATAACAGCTGCAACAGGTAGGCAGCATCACAGTGGGTAATTTCTCAGGGTTCGGACTCTCTGCGTTGTCGCTGCCCTCAGCTGGGGCATGGCTTGTCCTGCAGAAGATCTCATTTTGGTGGGTGGTTTGCAGCGTCTTGCAGGGGCTGAGCTTCCTGCCAGGGCCAGCAGGCTAACGGAGAAATTAATTAGCTTGCCTCCATGTGATGAGCCCACCTGATAGGTGCTGCACCTCCAGCCTCTTCGGGCACAGATCCCCAAATGAGGCTTTCTGCAGGAATACCTGGAGCCTCTGTGCGTGGGATTTGGCTGGAAAAGCAGCCCATAAATGTTTGCCTGGAGCTAGGGAAGCAGCAGCCTTGCTGGAACCTGCTTCCTTGGGCATGAGGATGTCCTTGCAGCCTGGGGCAACGCTCATCAGATCTCCCGTCAGAGCTGTCCTGCAAGCAGATACCAACACGCACCCTCTTGCCCCAGACTGCCTATGTGTTGTACTTGCTGGATAATTACAGAGAGGTTTTTTTAAATGTGATTTCCCCCCCCCCCCACCTTTTTTTTTTTCTGTCCCTAAACACACCCCAGCTGCCTGGGGTGATAAACAGTCTGAATTTTGGACCATGCTGAGATTTATGCACAGGCCACATCAGGGAAAAGCACTAAAGCCTTCCTTCTTGCAAGCCAATCCTAAACAGACTTTGCAGGCTAGTCTGTAATCCCAGACCTGGGGAGCTGGCCCAGGGTGTAGGTGTCCTTGAAGCAACCATCCCCAAACAGTGTTTTTTTTTTTTTCCTTGCTGTCTGTCTGCCTTTCTAAAACAATGTAGGCAGAAAATATGTTCTGAATCACGGACAAAAGGCAAGTGCAGTCAATAGCTCTTTGCCAGTCCCACAGCAATGGTACCAACTCTCTCCTGCAGACACATCTCAGCTGCTTTGGCTGGTTTTCCTGAGAATAAGGAACAGCTGTCAATTAAAAGCTATGCAGAAGAGAATAGAGTTGCATGGAATGATACTTTCTGTGCAGTTCTCAATTTGTAATTATTTTCTTCTGTGCTGCCAAGGTCTACAAAGATGTGCTGCTGCAGAAACCAGAGTTGGAGAAAAAACATTTAAATATTCACTTTGGCATGACATGATTTCTAGGTTGCTGGAAGGAATGATATTGAATGCAGCAGACAGTAATGGCTCAACTCCCTTGCAGCAGCCACTATCCAAACATATTCAGGACAAATAAGAGCAAAATGTGCCACACATACAAGGCAGAAATGGTTCATGCAAATCCCTCTGAGATTTTTGTACTTACAACACTAGTTGGGGTTTTCTTAGCACTCACCTGATAGCTGTTCTCCATTGCACTGCTTCAGTTTTATGCCAGTAAAGCTGCAGTGGCTCTTGGTTTTTAAGAGATTTGAGGCAAAATATTCGTGGCATGGGGATCATAGTGGTAAAGAGCTAGCAGCAGAAGAGAACACCTTGCAAGCAAAGCTGTTCCCCAGCAGACTCAGCAGCCCCTTCTATGACTTTTGCCCTTCCCCTCATTAGTAAAACTGGAAAAACACCTGCCTTAATTAATTACATGTGCGAAGTGCTTTGTGTTCCCTGGAAGGACAGTGATCTTTAAGGGCAAAACTTCTCCTCTTCTCTTTCCTTAACCTCATGACTCTCTGTCCTTGGAGAGACAAGAGAAGAAATCTTTAACCTGCCAAGCACAGAAAAGTCTCTGCTTCAAAACATCTTTGCAATGTCATTTATCCATAGCAGGGAAGAGCTGGACGTGAGGGACTTGCCTTCATCAAAACTGAATTCAGGAGAGAGACAAGTAAAACTACAGACAGCAGCTCATCCAAGTGAGAGGTGGTCATAGCAGGTGGTGAGGGCAGAGCTGTATTTTACCACCATTATGTGTTGAATGAAAATAACTACACAAACTACAATGACTCTCATGATGTTTATCATGAGGATGAAGGAGAGAATTTGCCCCCTGACCTTCTCCGAATGTCCAAATCTTCTTCAGATGGAGAAACAGGCAAAATGTGCCTCCTGAATAGGCCTGCTGTTGCCTGCTAGAGTTTAGATGGCTGGAAAAAGGTTAATATCAACTAAAGTCCTGTGACTGGAAGTGCAGCAGGAGGTAAATGATGCTGGGTTTTAGAGGAAATTACTGGGAACTTCCTGGTTCCCTGGGAATTACCGTAACTATGGAAATATGTCAAGGAGCCACACCATCATGGAAGCAGTCAGCGAGCTGTCTATGAGCAGACTTTGCACTGTACATCTCCTTACCAATGTTTATCTGCCTCGTGAACACATTAACGTGTCAGTAACCCCAGACAAAAGCAAGGAACCAAACGGAGCTGCTCTGTGCTTCCTCACAGTGCTTGGAAAACCTGGGGCAGATGGGCTGGATACCTCACTAGGGTCAGCAGGACATCTGACCTTCCCCACTCCATGCTAATACTGCCAGGGCTGAAGCCAAAGGATGCAATGGAGTACTTTTGGTCCTAGCAATGGATATAGATTGTCTAGGATGTATCATCCTGAATTACATCCAGCAATTCCTGATTCAACCCTTTGGCACGTAAGCATTTCCTCCATTCAGGATCCCTAGTCCTATCCCAAAGCCCCAAATGGCAAGGAAAGACTGTTGTACCTGCACGAATAATTAGGTATTTTCTCTAGTAAACATTTTTTCCTTGTTTTTCAATCTTTTTCTGCATTTCCCTCTTATTTCATCACGGTTTTCTTCCTTGCAGTTGCTTGTTCTTTCCCTCTCTGACCAGTTGAGTGGCTGCTCCAGTTGTGCAAGCTCTCTCAGCACTCAGATCAGGGCATCCACAAGCCGATTGTCTCCAGCAGCCTGAACTGCATAAGCCCTAAAGCCCCTGAAGCTACTAAGTCATTGCATTTGGTCATTTTTGGCTTGTATTTTTCTTTCTTTTGCTTGTTTTCAGCCCACAAATCATAACAGAGGCAGCTTGCTGTGCCGTGCCCTGCCTTGCTGCGGCCAAGACAGCTGGCTCAGCCGCTTGGGAGTGGGCAATGGACATCAAAGTGGCAACAGGCACTTAACAAATCATGGAAACAGCTGAGCCCACAGGCATTTTTGTGAGCCACTGGAGTAAGAAGCAATTGTTGCTGACCTTGATTTACAGGTGTCGAGGGGGCCTTCATGAGCTGCTCTCTTCCTATGGGCACATTCACCCAATCTGCAAAAGTAATCAAGGGACATAGTAATCAAGGCATGGGCCAACCTCTGCAAATGCAAACACAATGCATATTCTTCAAAGCCTGGCATTGTTTGTCATTTTTTTCTGCAAACATATAAATCCAAGCACTTCTCTGCATTAAGAGAAGTCTTCCCTTGTGCATGATTGCAGCCTATTAGAGGTTTCATTAGTGTTCCTGGTACAGAAAAGCTTGTACTAATTAACTTTGGAAACACCGATGCTCGGAAATGTGTAAGATATAAGTTTAATAATGCTACACACATAATAAATCTGCCCTTAATGACATAATGGATTTGTCCAACCTTTTAAAAGAATTTTTAAGCCATGCATAATTTAATTTGGTAGGGATGAATATGGGTTAAAAAGGAAATTTAACAAGCATTTGCCTGGTCACATGAATGCCCCTCTGCTAGTAGCTTCATGTCTCAGTAATGTAATATAATGTAATATAACCTGTAATGTCACCGGTTTCAGCTGAGATTTTGGGTGGATTGCAGAGACATTTCTGCCTGTGATGCAGCCAGGTGCCTGCAACAGGAGAAAAGAAGCCTGTGGAGCCAGACCCCTTCTATTAGCAATGCTGCAAGCACTCTCGGGACCATCTATCATCCCAGACGTTGATTCCTTAAGGATAAGGACTATTTTTTACAGAGAACTCAGCATAACAGGCACATTCAGGTTATGGTCCATCATGTTTTATGGAGGGTGTCTAAGATGTGCCTGCTAGCTCATGCCTTAGAGCGCTGACTTCTCTCCTTGACTATAAAAGGAGCCTGTGCCCCTATCACAGATGGAGATGTTCATAATGTGTCTAACATTAAGGGAAATGGATTGCATCCCAAAAGCTGCTGCCTCTCACTTGCTTCTCTTGTGCTAAAGCCCTTCGTGTGACAAAACATTCCTCCTGGTCATAGAGCACACACTGTATTTTGCTCTGGGTGTCTAGGGAGAGACATCAACGCAAAATGTTTTGTCAGACAACAAGGTATGATCCATTTTTGTGCAACTTCTCTAGTGAATCTTTATATTTCTGGACTGCAGCCATGCTGGCATTCATTTCTGGGAGAAATCTCCGATAAAATAGAGTATCTGATATTAATGATTGACCCACTGGCCTTGCTGAAGCTGCAGGGAAGTAAATGTGCACTTAATCAATCCCACTGCTGGTTTAGAGGTCATCACTGTGAGTGAACTCCAGGAGATGCTGCTCACAGTTACTTCTCTATGTAGAAGAGCAAACTTCAGATCCCCAAAGCATATGAGGGAGTCAAATTGTCCTCTGTGGCATCTGAGAGAGGACAGTAGGAGCCTGCCCTGAACAGGGAAGAACAGGGCACTCAAAGACAGTAGGAAAAAGTATTCCCAGATGGATTAGGTTTCTAACAATATCATTTGCTGCCATGATTACAGCCTCGAAGTAAGCACCAGGAAGGCTCAGTCAAGGGGTGAAAAGTACTTTGAAAAGCCAGAAGAGCCTTGATGCTGCAGACAGTGCCCGGAGCTTTGAGATTGTGGCTCCTTCACTTCTTTCTGGATATGATGCACATCCCTTCGTGTAGCAGATGGTGGCTGGAAGGAGCCCACTTATCACTGCCAATTGGAAAGAAAAAAAAAGAAAGAAAAAAGAGAGCTATGTTGTCCATTTCAAAGTTTTTGATGTAGGTAGAGAAGAGCAGGGTTCCTGGGAAGCCCAGTTCCTGGAAAATTGTGAAGGTACCAAGTAATGAACGATTGAACTTTATCTAACATCAGTCTGATCTGAGGGCTAACTATGGATAACTGTGCCCATCCTCATCCTATATTCATTCATACAGCACTGCTTGCTTTGTCATTTGAGCTGTAAGTTCCTAACACAGGGGCTATTTTTGTCTTCTGTATTTATACAGAGCCTTATACAAGAAAATCACTAGAAACTAATTACAACCTAGTGATGTAAATTGGCGGAGAGCTACTTATTTGGCTCCTTTGTGGAACATGCAGTTATCAAAGTGGGTAGCCAGATCCTAGAAGGCTAAAGCTTCTCAGAAACACAATCTTTTTTTCCTCCTTTTATTCATGTCATGAGGTGTTACTCTAAGATTTTAGATCGCCTAGTGTGAAAGAAATTGATGCAATTTGTTTTAAACAATCTGAGCAAAGCACAAAGAGAAGTGTCTCCATCAGAGGAGTTCACTATTCACAGCTTGCTGGCCCTCATTTATCGATGAAATCACCTGCACAGTGTGTGACCAACTCTTATACTATCTAGGCATGCTCAGTTTTGCATTGGGATCTCTCCTTACTTGAGGAAGTCACAGACAACTTGGAGTACCAATTTTTTAGAAGGTGTTAAGGAGTCTATTTGTGGGAGGCTGGTGGTGCATGTTAAGTGTATGACCCTGGGATCTGGCTGACATTCGACAGGAAACCTGGTGTTCCACAGGACAGATGTGTCAAGAAGCACACCAGCAAATTGCCCTCTATATCAAAAGGTTCCTGTCAACCTACTTGCTTCTTTTTCAAAACACTACAGGTACATTGAGAAGAGAGCAGTATGGCCTTGACAGCAACAGCAGTTCCACAAGTTTCACATCCTGATAAGCACCCATAAGATGACCTCTGATGATCAAGATGTTACTGGAGCGCGGAGACATGTAGAATGGGGAAAGCTGCTGTCTGTCCAGCACAGAAAGTTCATCAAGTGGCAAATTAACTCCATGCAGAAAAAGCCATGGTTAGAAAAACCAGACTTGACTCTTCCAGCAGTGAGAAACAGTCTGTGCATTGTGGGAGATTCCTCTTTTCAGAAATAACCTGCTGCTCACAGGTGTGCCCTTATTCTGCCAGCCCAGATGATCTACAGAGCTCTGGGCACTTCTCTGAAGGAAGCAAAAGCTGGACACAGAAATGTGAGGAAGCAGCAGCTCTGAGGGCTGCCCTAAAGCAGATGGTGATGGGCAATACCTGCCTGGGAGGGGGTAAAGGAGCAGTCGCACAAAGAGAAAACTTGGATTATTGGATAGCCGGATTGTCACCGGTTGCTAATTGCCACAAGTGATTAATCTAATTTGTTTTGGTAGGAGAGTTATAACAAGCTAATGGGAGATGCTGAAAAAAATTGCTCCTGCTACATCTTGAGAAGAGGCTAAGACCACATATGGATGATCCAAACTGAGCGATCTGAGGCATCCTTGGGCCTTGTGGATGAGTGCGATTTGTCCAACTGCTGGAGGGGAAGGACACACTCCTTACTGGGGAATTGGGTGACAAGGGTGCACTGCCCTTACAGCCATCTCTGCTCTTGCCATCCGAGGACATGGGCACTTCTGACGTTGCTGTCTTTCTAATGCATTTCCAGCAAGCTCAAGATGCTGCCAGGAATGTCATAATGCAGCTCTTCCAGCAGCTGTGGTCTCCAAGGTCCAACCAGGAGAGAGGAGGCAAAACACCTGGCAGCATGGACCAGTCCCACATGTTTTGTGAAACAGCTTGATAGGAAATGTTGTCAGCCTTGAAGTGTTGATGTTCCCAGCACAGGGTAGGCAAAATTGGTCTGAGCCCAGTCAGAAACATTTTAGGTGGAATATTATACTCATGCAGTGTTTCCTTATTAAAATCACCAGATATTATTGTGAAATACTTTCAGCAGCGAGACTTAATGACCAAAGGGGTTCTCTGGAACAAACCTGTAAGCTTTGCATGTGGTTGACATAGGTGATCATGGGCCCTAGAGCTGCCATGCAGAGCACAGCTGTTTCTGTGCTGCCATTATCAGTGCTGGAGCATTTCATATCTCTGTGTGCATACCAGCACACCATGGAAGCTCCAGAGGCCTTTATGCAGAAATAAGTGACATCCAGCAAGGTGGTATCTGCTCTTGGAACTCACCTTGATAGGGATGGAACAAATTCTAACAGAAAAATTTAGCTATTTCTCTAGGAACAGGACAAATTGTGATAATTCACAGAAAATAGAAAACAAACAAACAAGAAATCAACTCAGCTACATCAGATACATCCATTTGGTGCCTTGAAAAAGCCAGTTTTACAATGCAAAACAATTATGTCCCAGAGCAAACTGTGAAGCAGAACTCAAAATATGGACGATACATTTACAGAACATTGCACTGATGTCTTTGAAAGCCCCAGTCCCTTCGTTGGCAGAGGATGGTTAAAACGGTTACAAAAATCTGACATGTCTCAGAGGAAGAGTGAAAGGAGCAATGTTTGCATCCAAATAGACAACAAACAAAGGAGAAAGCTGCAATTAATGTAACTTGGAAAGTAGAGATTGGATAAATTAAATAAGGGAAGCAAAGAATACAAGAGACAGGCTATGACTTTGGAGAAAAAGAGCAATGAGAAAGTCTTTAAACATATTAGGAAAGAAGAGAAGCCAAACAATGTCTTTGGACTACTACCAAATTGAAATTATAGGAATGACAATAATTATGCAGAAAGGCAAATGTTTTTAAATGAACTAATATTCCTGTTCTGAACCTGGGGAGAAAAACAACTGCAAATGATGCGTTCACATCAGAGGATGATGATACAACAATTTGCATAACAGCAGAAGTTTGGGAGGCCAGTGAGTAATATTTATAACAGCAACAGTTCTAAATCAACATCCTAAATAATTTGCACACAATCATTTTTAAGAGAAATTGCAGTCCTTTGTGGACTGCTAATGGTTTTGAATATGCTGTGGAGCACAGGCAAAATCAGAGCAGAAGAAAAGCCTCTAAGGGTAAGTTGAATGATCTGAATATTGATAGGCCTGCTGAGCTTTGGTCCTGGGGAGATAATGGATCCCGAGCTGTGAGAAACAACTTCAGAAATTAAAAAATAGTAAAGCATAATATCGTTAATGCCTATCAACAAGGGCTGATGAGAAATAGATCTAATGCTAACTGGATTTTTTTTTTTTTTTATGATGAGACTACAATTTTGCTTAATAAAGGAAATAGTGTTGACTTAAGCTTCTGTAAAATATTTGACTTGGTATCCCACACTGTAATATTCAAGGAGCCACATCATTACAAAATCAACACAGCACATAAAGTGGATTACATACTGGCTAAAAGAATTAGCCTTCAAAAACTGAATGATGGGGGCATGTTTCAAGTGGTGTCTCTACAGGAATGATTCCTTGATCCCTTGGACCCAAGCCAGTCAATATTTTATTAGCCACCTAGAAGAAAAAAATAAAAATAAAAAAATAATTAAAAGACATGAAATCCAAGGGGATTCAGCTTGTGGTTGAACCATGATGGAGATGACCATCAAGTAGGGAAGAGGAGAGGTTCCCAAAGCAGAGTAAGGGGTGGTTGCCTTGCTTAGCTGAACGCATGTGCACACAGGTGGTTATGGAACAGCACACACATCCTTCCAGATATGTGTCACATGCTGAAGCAGACTGCAGCACTTTAGCTTGCAAGAAGGGGGATGTGGTAGAGTATGTTCGGAGATTCAGCCTCTCCGAAAGAAATGACAAGTATTTACATACAGAACAACTCAAGGCCTCCTGCAGGAAGGCTCCAGTTCAATGGTTTTCAATCTTTTCAGATTTGTCAAGCCCAGAATGTTTTCCTGGGGCTGTGTGGAGCCTGGTAGAGCACATGCAAGGTGGGACTCCAGCTGCACTGCTAATGCTCTCTACATCATTTGCTGTGCAGCCTATCAACCAGGCTCCTAGGCTGCATCCTTTAGGAGCAAAAACATTCAAGCACAGCTGTTACTGCATTCCTAGTGCACACATACTGCCTTAACAGCAAAAAATAACTTTTTTGGGGAGTCTTGTAAAGAATAAATCAACATGCACTGAGCATGACAAATAAACCAAACCAACCTGAAAGAAAACATGGTGCTTACATGCCTTCCCCATGGCATGGGAGGTACAAATGCAGCAAGGGGTCATGATCACCAAGAGGTGACACAAGCAGGTGACACAGGTTTCAGCAAAGGCAGCTCTGCATAGATCTGTCTGCCAGCTGAAAGGCAGAGAACATGAAAGGCAATTAGAGCCCTAAAATCCTTAAGACTTTTATTAATCATTTGCAGAATGGCTGATTATATGGCATTAGTAAAGAGGGACAATTGTGAAGAGTTAGGGCTGCTCATGCCCTGCTACTGAGGTCTTAACCTCTGAGGCAAAGCCCCCAGCACATCTTAGCTGGGATGTTCCATGAGGATGCGGAAAGGAGCCCTTGGAGGGGACATCCTGCCCCACACCAGCTCATTGCAACCCAGACAGAGCCAGGGACACCAAGAACAGATGCTCCAGAAGTCCGGCTTCCACACATTTGCAGAATTAGTGCCATATGAAAGAGAAAGATGCCAGTTCCCAAAGTGAAAATCTCCCTGGAGAGATGAGAAATCACTTTTCATTATAATTTTTACTCCATGGCCAAATGTAGCAGAGAGATCAGAGCCTAAAGGTATAGGGAGCCTTTAAATAGCAGATTTCCTGATGACAGAGAGGGTTGCAGAAGTGTTTGATGGTTGTTTTGACTGAAGATTAAAGCATTGCATTGCCGAACCACAGAGGAGGCCACAATCCTGTGATAGAAGCAGTTACTTGAGAGGAGAGGAAAACCTAAATATTTGATATTGTTGCTTGAAAGTCAAGATCAGAAATTATTTATGTTTTTTAAAGATGCTGAATTATTTATTTTGCAAAAAAAATACAGCTTTAAAAATCCTGGGAAAACGAATGACATAGCAGACCAAGCTCCCCAAAAGCTCTCACATAGTTGTTATTCTTCATCCTCTCTACAGAGCAAGGTCTATTTTAAAAGTTTCTATTTATGATAGTATTCAGGCAGCTTCTTCTGAGCACAGGAAATATTTCTTAGTTTCTCCCGTCAATGGTAGCTACTGATATCAAAGTCTTGACCGGGGGCCAGACTAGTGCCATAATATTATGTACGAGTCATCTCTAATCCTCCTCCAGATGCTCACAATCACAGCACAACTTGTCCTCACCATAGTTCAGCAATGTACTGCTCCTGCAGAACTTTGTAAAGGATATTTTCCTTTTCATCAGACACTGATGAACACTGACCAAGAGCACCTCACCTGCATGATCTCCTTGGACGTTGCCCTCATAGAGCCATGGAGTAGGAATCCGTAGGAACACACTGCTCCTCCAGCAGCATGGCTGTTCTTTGATGGTGGGTTCTTATTCTTTGTTTGCTTGTTGGGATCCCAAACTATCACTTAAGTTCCTGGTCATCTTCTCTCGATGTTGCTCTTTTGCTTAGAAGTTTTTGATGTTGAACATTTCTATGTGAACAGCTCTCACTTTAGCTTCCACAGTGCTGGATAGAAACAGCAGTGACTCAGTGTGGAGGAGCTCACCTGTGCAAAGGCACCTGCAGCTGATGCAACACAAGGTAAAGGTGACCCGTGTCCAAAGGTCCAAGCCTTTTCTTCAGAGCTGCTCAATGGAAAAACAATGCCCAGGTGAATTTGGGATCAGACTTCAATTCCCAACAAAAACCAAGAAAATCCACCTCCAATCAAAGAGGGAAAATTTGTGCCACAGACATCTCCACACACACCTGCCACCTTGCTCTGCTCTCCTGCACGCAGCAGTTCTGCACACTAACAATTACAATTCTGGTTTGCCGGCAGCTACAGAGGTCTGAAATTAAACCAACAGCTGGGAGTGTGTAACATGCAACCTCTCCTTAAAAGAAAAATATCTCACAAGCAGGAAATCATGCCCAAAACAAAAAGATACATTTTTTACACCAAGACTTTTATCTTGGTTTAATTTTCACTGCTGTCAATAAGTTGCTCAGCTGACTTCCTAGGACAATGGGGCCCATAACCTCCACCAGCACCATGTCCTCTGGCACAGGGCCATCCTGCTCCCTGGGCAAGATAAGGATGGAGCAAATTGGAAATGAGTGCAAGGCATCACTTCCAGGCAACGGAAAGCAATGACTGCACCATTGTTTCACTTAATGCAAACTCACTTTTTAAACTTTTTTTTTTAAAAGACAGAAGCCAGACGGGACCTAGCAGTTTTGTAACCTGCTCTAAGCAAGAGCTGAGCTGGAAATGTCTACAGGAGAGCCTAATTTACATATTTGACAGAAAAGTATAAAAGGCTTGTAGCATGTAGAAATACATATACTTAGCGGAGTTTGAATGGCTCATGGAGATCAGTCCAAGTACTTGGGCCCTCTGTCTCCAGTACAGTCTGAGAGTCAGGATTTAATTGGAGCTATGGCAATATTAACCCAGAGCAATTCGAGGCAGGTAGCGGGTTTTGTGTGTAATGGGGTTAAACCCATAACCCCAGAACACAGGCTTTTAGGCAGGCACATCAGCATGGGAATAACACTATGCAGTCAAGAAGGCAATTTAAGTACTTGCATTTCAGTAGTTTAAGTGCTGATTAAACCTGCTTCTGTGACACCATGGCCCTGTAACCTGCTTAAGTAATAGAGGGAGTTGAGGAAAATATTCATGGGAAGTTATTTCAGAGTGCCCCCTGCTTTATAAATTGATTTCAGGGATTGTTTTAAGCAGTCAAGCATCTCCAGTGGCTAAGCTGGAGACACTCAGCCACGTTAATGCCCGGATGGCAGAAAAATAAGGCAAGTCACTTTTCCACCATCAAAAGTCCACGAAATTTGAAAATTAACAGCAGGAAACTCACAGTTTTGCTTCCCCTGCCAAGGTGCTCCATGGATATAGCCTGAAAGTACGTGGTCCTCATGAACCTCGCCTATCTTCTCATGCAGAATTTATTAAAAATTCTTACCAGAATCTCCACGCTGTTTCTTAGGGATGAACCACATTGTGAGGCCAGGCTGAAGGTCAAAATACTTCCATGCTCTCCATCAGCAGCAATCTATGTCAAGGACTTGGTGTGTATGGAGTGAAGGTGCAAACATTTTCTAATGGTCTTGGAGAACTATCAATCATTTTCAAAAGTTGCTTCTTTCTTTTAGCAATTTGGGTAGAGAACGTGCTCCTTCTTTCTTGTGGAGCAAAGATGTTACATCTCCTCTTTGTTTATTGTGCTGCAAGGAAAAATAAACACAGACAAAACTGATTTTGAACCCACATTTTTGGAGTGATTCAAAGCAATTGTAGCACTTCAGATTTTCAAGAGTACTTTGGATTTCTGGGCTTATGCAGTTTAGGGCAATTTAAAATTAATGGAGTACTTAAAGTTTTTAAGAGCACTTCAATTTGCAAGTGATCAGAGTTCGGGGATGCAGAGAATAAAGCAATTTAAAATAACTGGAAATGCTTTTCAGGGTGTTTATCATAACTCTGGCATAATCAGCATCACATTGAGGGGCAGCTAGCACTTGCACTGGATGTCCTGCGTGCACAATGGCATTCTGCATCCCTCTGACAGTCAGAGGAGAACAACCTCTTAAGAAAGAGTAATTCATATTTTTAAATACATACACACATATATACGTGGCTGAAAAGCCACATAAATTTGGGGTTTCAGTTCCTTGTCAAAGGCTGGTTTCTATTTAGTGGAAAGGATGCAGGCCCAGCTGTAAAATGAGGGAAAACATCAAGGTTTGACCTGTTAGCTGGAGCCTCCCAAGAAATCAGTCTGTTTTCTGACAAGAGCCTTCCCTACCCCCATGCCACATTTGGGCTTTATTTCCATTTTTCTATCTTTCCCAAATGCCCTGCAATAGCAATACAGCAAAAATCACAATTTCTGCTTTACATGAGTGTCTGTTGTCACACACATACACACTGTATATACAAGCTGAAAAAAAATCTGGTTCTGAACATAATAGCTTAACCCAGAAGAAAAAATTGAAATGATAAAATTTTACAAACCAAAGCAATCAAAAATCCTTCAAGGTTTCCCAGAAAAAAAAATATGCTTGCGAAGATATCTCTTCACGCTAGGAGGGAGGTAGGCAGGCACACTGCTAAGAAAGCACTTCCACAAATTACACGTAATGCAGCTCCTCTATAGACTGCCAGGGCTTTTCCTCACGTATCTGTTGAAACTTGTGACTAAGAAATTATTCCTAAGTTGTTCCACTCATCTGCAATAAATCTCATGACTGTAAAAGAAGAGATGTCATCCTGAAATTACAGTTTTCTTGCTGATGTGCTTCAGGAGGTTACTCGGGAATTGTCATTTTTCATCTCAAAGCAGACGTGCGAGTTCCCTTTTCAAAGCGTTGCTTCAAGTAAATGATGTGGAGAAGCAAGCTGACAGCAAAAAGGAAAATAACATTTGCACATCTTGCACAGCAATCAGACAACTCTAGGGCCAGAGGAAGCGTCAGTCTACATAGAGGTCCCCCCAGAACACCAAAAAAAACCCAGTTACCAGGGCTTGAATGCCCAGTCTGAGCAGAAAAGGGATTGTGGACAAGAAGCATTCTAAAGTTTCTCATCATTAGACAATGCAAACTAGCTCTTAAGAGAAAGAAAAGGCATAGGAAATCTAACAAACACTAAGCTACACTCCCTACCTCTATCCAGAGGGACACCATGGGTCTAACATCACACCCTACCTTTGAGGTGGGACCTAATTTACAGGAAGGCAATCACAGCTTCACAGCACCACATGGGTCAGTCCAGCACAGGTGGGAGCTTCTCTCTCCAGGAGGTATCTAGAGACCTGCCAAAGACTTCCAAACACCTGGGTTAGACCTAGCCCCTCTTTAATACACTGCATGAGACCCACATGCTAACATTTTTTGGCGGTTGCAACTTCCAGTACTTCAATATTGTACATAGCAACTAACAAAGAGGACAATTTGCATCTCCACTGCATACTCAGGAAGAGGCTTAAAGAGGGAGCTGAATTGCTAGAAGCTCACATAGCTAACAGCAAAAAGTTCAATTTCAGATGCACTTTAAAGCTTATCCACAGCTGCTCTGCTTTAAATATTTTATTGTTTAGCCTAAGGAGTCCAGCATGAGACACATGTTCTTCCCTGGAGTGATTCCTATAATTTGGAGTCCTCACCTGCTCCAGATTTCATATCTGATAAGATACCATGAAGATCTGCAAGTCTGCTTGCTGTGATCAGTGCTCAAGTCAGCTTTGCTGCCAAGTGCTTGGATGGGCATAAGGGAGAATTTCAGCCCTTTTCCTTAATGCCTCTATTGGTTAAGAGCAGAAGTGACAGAGGCATCTTGCAAACTCCCACATTTCAAGTGGCTTATGAGCTGAACGTTAACTTCTATGAAAACTTCAAGGCTTGATTTTATTGGTTGTTCAAAAAGAAAAGAAAGGATATTTGTGAGTTCAGGGAGCTTCCTACCCGAAGGATAACTGTCTTGCTGGGGAGCTCTGATAGCACACAAAAGAAATCTTTTGGTAACATCACTGCTATAGGGAGGTGGCTTTTGAACAAGAATGTGGAGCAGATGCCACATTCTTGAACATAGTAATATCTATTACATGATAAAGTTACAGAAACTAGATCAAAGCCTGAAGAAGCACTAACAATACTGGAATGATTTCTCTTTGCACAGGTCGCCCCACCTCCTGCTCTCAGAGGTGCACAGGTTCCTCCTATATAGTTATCCACCAAAAACAAGTTTGAGGGAAAGGCAAACTATAGCTATGCTTAGCCATAGTTGCAAGAACCCAGCAATAGCTTTCTCATGAACCCATGAGCAGCCACTTGCTACAGTCCTTTCCAGATCAGTCCCATAGTGACATTGCATAGAAAGACTCCTCAGAAGCACCAGGTTCACACGGAGACAGCTTGTGACCACCCATCACCTTCCCCTGCCACACAGTTGGATAGCAGATTACAGGCAGCACTACCTGCATTTTTCTTCCCACTAGCTATTAACAAAGACTTGTGACCTTCTGAGCTTTGTTCCCAGATTAGCTGTTTGTTAATGATGCTCTTACCAAAGTCAGCACGTGAGCAGGCAGCAGAGGTTTGACATCTGTACATGAAGGGCACCAACTTCTTCTGCAAGGAAGGGCAGTACCAAAGCATACACCCAAAGCATAGAGCCAAAAGGAACAATCTCAACATCTTCAGGACTGCAGCCACCTTACCTAGACCCTTCTCCCATCTTTGTCGGGGGGGGGGAAGAAAAGGAAATGAATGGTTGCCTAATCTTTTATTGACTCCAACCTCCTGGTTCCTCCCTTCCTAATTCACATATTTGTCAAGCCATTTAAAATCAGTCACTAGTTGCAAACATCTGGGTAGAATCAGGTATCAATGTTGAATGTGTGCCTTGAATCTGGAACCGTGGAATTGGGCCTCTTTATTTCCCATGCCCTTAGGAGGGAGCTTGAAATCCAGAGGGGCTGGTTTTACTGGCCACTGCAATGTAACTTTCTGTCCTTGAGCCCTGATTTATGAAAACTCAAATAAAGGCCCAAAAATGGGAGATGCAAAGGGGATTAGTAACAGTTCAGGGTACTTAAACTCTACATACCTACATTTAAGAACAGAGGGGAAAAAAAATGTGCCTGAGACGTAGATGGGCACTTTGTGGGGTTCTGCAAATCACTTAGATCTCTGGTTTTGTGCAAGAAAGGACAGTGCGAATCACTGCTTTGTAGTGGAGTTGTTAAAATTAAGTAGCTTTCAGCTTTAAAGAACTCTATGGAAAGCCTCTATAGGATAAACAATGCAATTATGGCTGGGAAAGGCAATCACATCTACTGCAGAATAATTTACAAGAACATTAACTCAATAGGCAAATCATAATTAATTAAGAAGCTTAATGTGTTGACTTTTTAATGTGTAATTAAACTTCTGTTTATATCATATACAGGTAAGAGTCAGGGAAGGCAGGATGCATTTAAAGAGGTTTTCCTATTTAAGAAAAAAATTAAAAAAAATACAAAATACTTCCCAGAGGGATGTGAGAAGAAAGCTTGAATTACGGGAAGAGGGAAAGGGAATGCTGCTTCCATATCAGCTCCAGATGCTGCCTGGTGCCATGTGACTGGTGCACATGGATGCACAGATGCTCACACTAATGCATCCCCCCCAAAAATACACACTATGAGGAGCAGCTTATTGAAAAGCTTGTGAAAGAAAAATATTTTCACCAGGTGTAATTTCCTGATCTCAGGGTATTTTCTTTCATTTTTATCCTGTGGGACTCATATTCATAAAGCCAGGTTACCATTCCAAAGCATCGCTTTTCATCTTCAGGGATAAAAGCATAGCACGGGTAGTAAGCAGAGATGGTGAGTCCTTTTTTTTTTCAAAGAGCAGGATTTTACATCTATTAATGAAGTGCAACATTAAAGCGGGAAAAAGGAAGGAAGAAAGAGAAAAGATCAAGAAGGAAAAAGAAAAAAAAAAGAGAAATGGTTTGGGAAAGGACATTAAGGAGCTACTTTCCAGCATGCTTGCTTTCCTTGGCAAGGCCTGATGTCACATCTTAATTTTAAGCTAAGCCAATATTCCTCAAGAGAGATCAGGAATGCAGATCCCAGCAATCTCGAGGGATATTCCCACAGGAAATCTGAAGCCAGCTCCGGTTCACCAGCCCCACTGGAGTTAGCCGTGGCTGCAGGTGGGACGCCTTCCGCAGCCATCTGAGCTGCTTCTCTGCTCCAGGTCTCTCCCTCTTCAGCGCTGCAGCAGAACAGGCAGTGTGCCTACCAACATACATAACAAGTGGTGATATACGTGTCAGTATAGCAGGATTTCTTTGGGAATTATTTCTTCACTTTCCCAAGGACAGTATTGCCTGGGACTTTTAACTATAAATCAGAGGACTTCTTTATAAATACATGTTTTTTGTCATCTGTGAGAGGCACTGATCGAAATTCCCTTTTTGCAAATCTGAGGTGCTTCTCTCCTCTCTCAGGTTGCCCATGTGCTCAGCATCGGTAAAGATGACAGCAACACAAATGCTTCCCAGAACGCCATAAAACACGGAGAACCTTCTACAAATTCAGCCCGAGTCTTTCCCTTCAGGAGCCTTGCTGGATTTCCTCTGGCGCTCGTCGGGGCCAGTGATTCACAGCCATACAAATAAAACCGAGCATAAAATGGAAGAATGTGAATAGCTTTATCATCACTCCCACCAAGATATTTTTCAGAGAATGAGTAAGTCTTCATCTATTAAGCTACGTGTGTTTTATGAGTTCTAGCAGGAACGTATTAGACTGACAAGGATCTCAGAGGTATTTGTCTTTTTTTAATACCCAGGCTGCTATTGTAATGAGAGCTGTGGAGCCAGGCGGGCCAGAAAGCATCGTGCTTCATCTGCTTAGGAAATTAGCTGCTCTACGTGGGGCGCATTCAGATGAGCAGCACTGAACCTGGCCTGGGGACCGCAGCGCACATGGGGCAGGAAGCAGGTCCATGGACATGCAGGGATAGAGATGAGGGAGCTCACCAAGAGGAAAAGGCCAAACAGACCCCTTGGGATAAAGAAATCCACGCAAAAAAAGAAAGAGAAAATTTGAGATGTTCCAGGAAATGTGGTTTTGCTGTCTTGAAACGTGAAATGCTGTTAGCTATTTCTATCAAAATCCTCTAAATAAAAGACTTCAGAGAGCCAAAACGAAGATCTGAGGGAGATTTTGTATCCTGTTTTCTATGGAATTTCACCTAATCGGTGACTCCTGAAGGGTATCTGCAAGCTGCTTTAAAATGGTGTTTTTCACTGCTGGCCAAAGAGCTTAGCAGCTTGTTTTCTTCACTACTGAGAGATATTCTTCATGCATACGAATTCTTGGTGTTTGAATAAAGCTGGATAGAATAAATGAAGTTAATTATCAAGCCGAATGAACTGGAACAAAGATGATTAATTAAATGGACCCAGAAACCTGGAGGAGAGAAAGAAACCTAGAAAATGTACAAAGATGGCCAGATTCGTGAGCAGTGGCACAAAGGTTTGGAAGTCCCTCACAACAGTGATCTTGAAAGGAGAAGAAAGAAGCAATGTTTTTGCTCAGCCAAGTCTGCAGGGAATAAAAGTTATTGAGCTGGAAAGACAACCTGTGCTGATCCAACAGGATCATCCATTCTGAAAGAAAACATTCAACAACCTCTGCCAATATTTAGTGATGAGCAGACAGCTAATGAAGATCTCCAGTCAAAGAAGACACCAATTCCACACACAAGCTGTCTCACTTGCCACTTCACTCACTCTTGCAATATACACTAGGACCGTTAAGAATGATTACCCTTTTTTTTTTCCTTGAGATGCTAAACTATAGAAATCTGTAAAATCATTTAATCA